GGGAGCTGACCTGGGCCCCACTTTACACAGGGCAGCCACAGGAGAATGGCTCTTCCAGCCGTGTCTCCAAAATCCCATCTGCCTTTAAGAAACCAAAAAATAAATAGTGTATACTTTTCACGCCACTTGGAATTCCTGGCCCCAAGACCAGAGGCTCGAGCCCTCCTCCTCTACCCCACACCCAGGTGCCCACGCCAAGGACACATTCCACTGGGTCAGGGGCTGGTCACAGCATAGCAAGGGTCTCTGACTCTGTGGCCCCCAGGCAGCAGGCCTTCCAAGGTCCTGGTTGAGGGACTGGCTCGGCCCTTTGGTCCGCTTTGTTCATTAAAATTAAAATAAGGAAAAAAAAGGCTCCACTTGGTGACTTGGGTCTGCAGAGGTCTCTGCTTCATCCCTTGTCTGTCACTCTGTCCATCCTGCAAGGCCTCATGCAGGCCAGATCTGGAGGCTGGACCCAGATCACACCCACCAGTCACTGCAGTTTTGTCCCCAGCTTGCGTTGTCTGTTTCTGCAAAATGGGGTGAGAGTCAGATGTGGGGACACCTGGTATTCAGGGACCCACCCCCATAGCTGTCTCTACCCCACCCACAGTCCCAACCAAATAGGCAAAGGCCTACCCATAGTAGCTAGTGATTGACCCAGACTGGGCCCAATCAGAACTTCTGCCCTAGGCCTGGGTCCTAGAGAGGGTCACTGTAACTGGCTGGGGCTGCACCACAAATGTCTTAGCTCTGGAGTCCAAGAAGTAGAGCCAGGAGATTGGGGCAGGGTAGGGGGACAGGATAAGACAGGAGAGGCCAGAGGGACCTGGCTGGAGTCCATCTAATTATGGGGAGTTCCCCTCACAGATAAGCCAGCACACATGGGTTCTGTTCCTATTGACTAAGACCCAGTCACCAAGGAGTAGTGCACTCTCTATCCGGGACTATGTGAGCAAATGTAGGCGAGCTGCTGATGGGGGTTAGTGGGGGGTTTTGAGCACCTAGTCTGGGCTGTGGCTGCATCTACGAATGGGTAGGAACCTAAAGGAAGTGGGACAATCACCCCCTTCTTCTGGAGGGGCTGACTGGGGCTCAGTAGGGAGAATGGGGTTTATCTAGGGTTCCAGTTAAAATCTAGAAACCACACTGTGGCCCACAAGGTCCCATGTGATCTGGCCCCCGCCTGGCCTCAGAGTCCTCCCCTTGCTCCCTGTATTCCAGCCACAGCAGCTGTCTGTCCAGTGGCCTCACAAGCTGTGTCTGCCTGAGGAGCTCTGTGTAAGCTGCTCCCTCTGCTGCAAACTGCCTCCGCCAGTCCCCAACTTCAACAGGCCCGACCACCCTGCTTCCACACCAGGCTCCTATCACAAGCTCCCAGGCCTCTGCACATCACTCCCTGGACTGACCAGTTGCATGGGTGCATCACTGCTTGTGCCTCCACTGCCTGTTGCCAAGAAGGCAGAGGCACAGCTATCTCAGTCTGTTATCCCAGCACAGCCTGGCACCAACAGGTGCACACTGGGGTCTTGGTAAATGACCAAGACCAGGTGTGATATAGCAGGCGGTAGCCCATTAACGGGGCAGGGTAAGGCCAGGCTAGCCACTCTGGGAGGCAGGTGGAGTGCTCAGCCAGGCCAGCTGTGGCCTTTCTGCCACTAATGGGATTGCCCTGCCATGGCCCTCAAATCCCCTTTCCTCATGGATCCCTGGCTTGAGCCTTAAGCTTGTTAGGATAATTTGAACCTTGATGCACTAAACACATTTCCTGGCTGCTAGGTCACCTCACCCTGCCCTGACCACGGTTCCTCTCACCCCTCATTAGAAACCTCCCAGGTTTCCACTGCAGCCCCAGCTGCCCTCTGAGCCCAGGGAGGAGCCAGCCTCCCCCACCCTGGCAAGCATCTCACCCAAGATTTGGGGTGAGTGAAAGAACATGGAGTCATGTTCTTTGGAGTCAAGAGACTCCAAACCCAGCCTTGCCTTGACTTGCAGTGCAGGCCAGCCCCCAACTCAGCGTCCCTTGGTTTACCAAGCTATCACAAAGTGTCTGAACTAAACAACCCCAGGAAATGTTCACACACAGGTGCCCTGAAAATCTCCACTGCCCAGCTCCCTAGTTCTGGGCCATGAAGGTTAAAAGTGTGGCTCTGAGCCCGATGACCTGGGTTCATGATCTAGCTCCCTCACCCACTATCTGCAAGATCTCAGGCAAGAGACCTCCTTTCACTGAGCCTCAGTTTCCTCATCTATAAAACAGGGGGGATAGGAGAATTCAATGAGGCAAGAGAAGTGTTTGGGCAAGTCCCTGGCTCTTGGGGAGTCTTTCAAATATCGAGGGAGTGGCTGCCCTGGGATGTGCCCTACTGAGCCAGAACCTGATAACTCTTATCCCCTTAACTCACCTGGCTTCTGCCCGGGTTACCGTGTACTCAAACCAGAGTACATTGGGAATGAGGCTCGTGTCTCGGATTAGGAAGAACTCAGAGATAGGCCTAGAGAGAGAGATACCCAGAAAGCCAGGGCTGCATCAAGGCACCAGCCTGTCACCAAGCCAGTCTTCCCTGGCCAGAGACCCCTGAGCCACTGAGAGGCCCAGCTGTGTCACCTGTATCACCTCAGACAGAGGCACTGTCCCATGGCACACACAGCCCACAAGACTCAGGATGCTTTATAAGTCCCTGAGAATCTAGGTAAGGACAGAGGATGGCATTCTGGCATCTTGGCCTGAAGAACACCATGTCACTGCAGCAAACCCCTAGGGGAGGTGGAAGCCAGGCAAGAGGGGCCCAGGCACAGGACCTCCCAGAGATACAGGCCTTGGCTTAGGACTCCCAGGTCTTCTCATTGGTGGCCAAGGCAGAAGGGTACAGGAGCCACAGGGCCAGAGAAGGTGGGAGGGGCCGGGCAGTTACCAGGCTGCTATCCTGGGGAACAGCGGGGTGAGGACCTCCTGGGTGAAGATGAACCAGGCGACAGCCATGAAGCTTCCAGCGATGCCTCCATAGAGCACCTGGCTCCAGGTGTGATATAGCAGGTAGACCCTGGGACAAGACCAGAAGGGAAATTTGTGAGACCCAGCCAGAGACATGCCCAAGTGCCAACTTCCCAGACCTGCGCACACACTTAAGGAGACACGCCAACAGGACACAGACATCCAGGAATATAGCCTCAGATCTACTTCTAGAATGAGGCAGGGCACTGGACCCTAACTGCAGCTCTCTTGTCTCTAGAAGAGAATGGATGGCTTGACTAGGATTTACCTCCCTCTGTCCAGCCCTTGAACTGACTTTTGTCTGTTGTGGGCTCCTCCAGAATGCTGGGAGCAGATGACTGATACCTGGAGGTATCCTCAGAATCTTGTGTTCAGCCAGGACAGAGCTGGAAGGGGCAGCTGGGGCCCCATCCCACCCTGACCTATAGGCTCTGGCACTGGGGTCCGCATGGGGTCCAATAGGAACCAAGAATCCGGCAGGACCCCAAGGGGCAGGGTACAAGGTGGGGGCTCTCCCTCCCTCATACCTGCTGTAGGAGACTAGAAAGGCCACAGTGAGGAGCCCCAAGGAGAGCAGATGCCTCCACAGCAAGTCCAGGAACCTGGCGTTGTTGGTTTGGTGCATTCTGAGAAAACAGCCCCACCAGGTGGACTCAGCCCACAGCCTGGAGCCCAGCCTCCCAGACAGTCCCAGGTCCCATTCAAATGCTCCTGGCTGCCTCTGCCTTGCCTCTGCCTAGCCATCAGAAGGGCATCTGAAGGGCTAGCAATGAATTCCTGGCAGAGCCTAGCCTGGGCAAGTTAAGGGCCACCCCAGCAGGGGCAGAAGCTCACCTTAAATAGAGGAAAAGGAAGGAATAGATGGAGAAGAACCACATAAACTGGGAATGGCTGGAGGGCATCCCGTACTTGGTGCCCACTGCTGTGTGGGGACCTGGAGAGAGAGAAAAGACCAGGGCATTACAGGAGGATGTTGCCCTCCAGTAATGTCCCGACCTGGGGGACCCTAAGGCTCTCTCAGCCCAGGCCCTACCTCCACAGGGCCGCGGTTCCTGGATGATATTTTTGATCAGCCAGTTGACTCCCTCGTTCAATGCCAGGCCCCCCAGGAATGAGATCTGCTGGGGAAGACATGCAGTCAGCTGGGCTTCTGTGTACCTGATGGTCAGCACTGGGTCCCAAGGATGGTAGCTTCTGATAGAACCTCCCAGTCCAGCCCAACTAGGGAACAACTTGGAACCAGCCAGGAAGCTCCACACACCTCAGATAGGTGGAGGCAAGGGAGGGAAGGCCAAGCACCTGGGATGAGGGGGACAAAGGTGTGCACTGAGGAGGGGGGCAGATGGGAACAGACTCACCGTGTGTAGCTCCCGCTTAAATATGATGAGGGTCACAAAACCAACAATGACAAATATAGGGCTAAGGCTCAGGTAGGCAAGGAGGTGGCCAGAGAGATCACCTGGGGGAGAAAGGAACAGAATGAGAGCCAGGCACAGTATCAGAAGAGGGGTAGCACTCTGCAAGTAGGGGCCAAACCCTAGCAAGCCAAGCAGGACCTGAGCCAGAAAGGAAATTCCAGCAAGGTCTAGAGCACAGGGCCAGTGGACACTTCAGTTTACCATATGAGCATGCCAATTCAGTTTTGAGCACATCATGACCCTGTCTATTACTGAGCTCCAAAGGTCATATGTCATATGTTTGAAGCAGCTGCCTTTTCCATCCCCATTCTACAGATGGAGAAACTGAGTCCCAAAGGGAAATGGGACTTGCCCAAAGTCACAAAACCAGGAAGAGGTGGGACCTAAACTAAAATCCCAGTGCCTGGTCCAGACACTATACCCATCATCCCTGCCAAAGCAGAAAGTTAACCTGGCTTGGTCTAACTCCAGAGGCCCTGTACAGGGAGGCAGCCCATGAGTATATGACAGCCTCTGCAGTGCCCTGATGTGTTAGGCCATCCCTGCTGAGCCCTGAGTTCCCATGGAAGTCTGATATTCTCTGGATACCACACAGACTTGAGTCCATACTAGGAACTGGTCCCATAGGGCCACCCACTACTTAGCAGCTTCTTGCTGCTTCTCCACTGGCAAGAAATTGGCTACCTACTGACTACTTTCTTTTTTTTTGAGACAGTCTCAAGCTGTCACCCTGTGTAAAGTGCCATGGCGTCATAGCTCACAGCAACCTCCAACTCTTGGACTCAAGTGATTCTCTTGCCTCAGCCTCCCAAGTAGCTGAGACTACAGGTGCCCGCCATAACGCCGGTTATTTTTTTTTTGCAGTTGTCATTGTTGTTTTAGCTGGCCCAGGCCAGGTTCGAACCCACAAGCGTCAGTGTATGTGGCCAGTGCCCTACCCATTGAGCTATGGGCACAGCCTTGACTACTTACTTTTTACACTCCTAACTCTTAATAGGCCTGGGATGAAAGCATTATGAGGACCACTGGTCCCTTAAAAAGATGGGGACACTGAAGATACAGAAGAGAGCCACTTTGCCCCTTGCCCAAGGGCAGGGCTGAGTCTGAGGCTACCCTCACTATCTGAGACAAAGCAGCTATGTGACCAATCTGAGGTCTTAGGGCATGGTTCAGTTCTCATGCCAGCTTTTGTGGGCTGTGTGAACTTAGACAGGACTTTACCCCTGACCCTTACCTCTCACATGAGGAACAGGGATATTAGTGCCCACCTTGTCCAGCCATGTGAGACTAGATGAGAGAACGCCTGGGAGACACCCAGATTGGGTGTCCCTGGCACCTAGGACACTGCCACATTGGGGCAGAGAACCCAGTGTGGTAAGTGGCCCATGCCACCAGCCTGGGTTCACACAAGCAGCAGGAAAGGTGCACACAGAGGGTTGAGCCAGGGTTCTAGGCTTGATGAGATGGGCGTATACATGCCTGGCCTCACACCTCCCCAGGAGTGGGCTGGCTTGGAACTGACCTGGGAGAGTAGGGCAGCCCGGTTAAGTTAAACACCTGGGTTCAAGTACTGGTGCTGCCATAGTCCCACTGGGTGAACTGGATGAGTCCACTTCCAATTCTAGGCCTCTGCTTCCCCACCTAACCAAAGAGAATGGTCTTCCTCAACCCTGAGATGCTTGGTTGCTCCACCAACACCCACAGCTCTGGGCTATGAAGATAGGCTAATGCCCCCAAACCTTTGACCCTCTCTACAGCCTGTGCCACAGCCAGCACTACCCTGGGGGTCTCCTATAGATAATGCCAGGGACTGTGGCCTTGCCACTCTCTGATCCAAGACTACCATGGCTCCCACTGCCCTTGGGACAAACTCCCCTTAGCCCAGCTCACCCAGCCCTGCAGTCCTGATTCTGCACCCCTACCACCCTCTGTTCTAGTTCCAGGTACCAAACTCTAGTTCTCTGGACATACCATGCTCTGTGCTACTTCTGGACTTTTGCACACAGCCCCTCCCCCCACCCATGCTGTCTGGATTAACTCAACAAACATACATTAAGTACCCACTACAGTGGCAAAAAGACACATCCCTTCTAGTGTAGAGCCCTCAGGCTGTGAGGGGAATCAGTTATTGGGACACAGCTTATGATTTGCTGTCTGGGTAGATACCAGGAAAGCATCTGTCTCTCCTACACTGAAGGTTCCATGGGAGTAGGGATGGGATCTTTTCACACCCCACTCTGGAGCCCTGCACTCAACTGGGCTCAAAAATGATGTCAAACAAATGGATGAAGGAAACAAGCATCAGTGTGATATGGGTGTGAAGGGAAAGTGCAGGGAACGTAGAGGTGTTCACAGGGTCTCGCCAGATGCCCTAGGCTCAGCTAGCATCATGCAGCTCACAACGGCCAAGATGCCTTCTTGCTTGTTAGATTGTGAGTACTCCAAGAAGCTACTCTGAGGTCATGGAGGGGAAGCCACAATGGTGCACAGGCCTCATCCAAGTCATTCCCCTTTTCAGGTTTTCCCTCCTACAAAGTAGTTTTTCACAGTGCAGTAGTGCAAGGATACATTAGGCCTCCGCACCATGCTAAACCCAGGGCCACACAGGGCCTAGCACTCAGGAGGTGGTCAGTGGATACTGGCTGAATGAATGAATGGATGAATAGTGGGCAGGTGGGCAGGTAGGGCCCTCCCGGCCCTTGGCAGGGCTGCCCCACCTCCAGTATAACCCAGAACACCCAGGGGCAAAGTTCTCTGGCATCCAGCCCTCAGTCCATCAGCAGGGCTAAGTTCTCATAGCCCTGCCCAAAAGCAACATGAGCCAGGTCCTTCAGGGGCAACCAGGGCTCATGTACAGGGCCCCAGCTTTCTCTGGCACCCAGGGTGGTAGAATAACACTGGCTGCAGGTATTTACCGAATGCTTACTGTGTGTCAGGCACTGTGCTCTGCTCTTATTACTCCTGCTAATTTATTCTCACATCACCAGAGGGGAGGCACTGTAATTAGTCCCACTAAAGAGACAAATAACCAAGGCACAGGAGGCACATGCACAGGCCTCAACCTCAACTGGAGGCCAGAAAGGTCTGAGGCCATGGCCCACCTCGGCACCACTCTACTATACCGCCTCCAGAACAGTTACTAATGGACCTCCCACTGGAAAACCCTGCACTTCAAAAGGTGTGTCTGATGGGAAGTTCCAGAAGTCAGGATCCTGAAGACTGCCTACCCCCTCACGGGAGAGGGGGTGTCTGTTGTGTTGTGCCTTGCTCAGCGAGTGGCACTACAAGTACTCAAAAGTCTGGCCTCAGCTTACATACTCCCTGCAACGGGGAGTTCTTTTTCTTAACAGGCAGCCAAAAGCACAGTTTGAAGGAAACAGACACTCCCAGCACGCCGGGAAGGGAGTGCGGCCTCTCTGGCTCCGGGGAGGACTGAGAAGAAGGGCCAAGTTTCAGACCAGTGATCCCTTCCGGCCTCGCACAGACCCTCGCACCAAATCAGCCCACCCGCGACCCGGGACCCAGGAGAGCGCCCAGCCGCGCAGCCGCACAGCGCACGAGCTAGCAGCTCTCAATTTCGCCCAGCTCATCCCCGCGCCACTGCGCCTGCGCGGCGCGCGCGCCGGCCGAGCCCCTCCATGGCTCACTATTTGACAGTTCCCACCCCGGTCCCCCAGCACCCCCTTCCCGGGCTCGCGCAAGCCAGAGCGACCGAGGCTGAGGGGCTGGCCCCGGGAAGGCGTCCTCGGAGCCGGGGCCGCTTTTTACCTGCAGGATACTCGACGTGGGTGAGGGTCACCGGCCGCCATGAAGCGGGGAGCGAGCACTGTCCGTCCGCTGCCATCTTACCCGGAGACCGGGCTTCGTCGAGCAGCCAATCCGGAGCCAGGGGGGCGGTGGTCCTGACCTATCACGCCAGGGAGGTGCCGTGCACCCAATAGGAGGCCGATACAGGTAGCGGCGCAGCCATTCAGCGTGCTGGCCATGGGACTGGCCCAGGCGGCGAATCAGAGACGGGGGCTCCTGGGAACCAGCGTGCCGGCCCAGGCGGCGCCCAATCCGGGACGAGCACAGGTAGATGCCTAGCCAATCAGAAGAGGGGAGGCGTTTAGCCCAGAACAGGGTGCATAACAGCCAATTAGAAGGCGAGACTGGCTCAAAGTGTAGCTAGGAAGGGCCAATCAGGTGCTAGCTTGGGAGGCGTGTTGAACTTTGGTGGGAGCTTTGGTTCTGCTGGGACTTTCGCGCTGAGCAGAGGCTTCCCTGGTACCCCGATGTGGGGGCAACCTCAGCACCAGGAGGTCCGAACCGAGCCACTTTTACTTATGAACAAACCGAGGTCAGAGACCCACCCTATACTGATCGAAAAGGCAAGTCACACAAAGTGTGACCTTTTACTTAAAGTGTGTGAGGTGGGGGAGGGAACTGCTGGGGCAGGGTTCACAGTAGGTATCCTAAACGCTGAGCAGAACGAAAGCTTAATTAGGCTCGGCGCCTATAGCTCAACCGGCTAAGGCGCCAGCCACGTACACCTAAAGTGGCGGGTTCGAGTCCC